GGATTGACTATATAGCCCATACATCCTTAATCAGTTAAATATCATTAATCGGCATTTTATTGGTACTGATAAAACCGAATTTTTGACAAAGTATTTCGTTCCTCCTCAAATATTTCTAAACTGGTGGTCCTACGAAGAAATTATATACGACCTTATTTATAGCTAACTAGAGCTACAAATTTTGTTTGAAACATTTTTCGCTAGCGTTGATAGTTAACAAGTATTTTTCAAAAAACGATAAAACAGTTTATTGCAAAATACTCGACGGTAGACCAAAAAATATATCAGTCAAAAGTTGTAGCTTTTGATGGTACCTGCAACTCTCGTTTCAAACTTTCCTCGCTAGCGGCAACAGGTAAGCAGTTATTTGCAATAAACGAAAATTTCGCAAAATCTGAAATGCTTAAAATAAAAGTTGGTACTACTATTACCTGTAAAAAAGGTCGTATACAATTTTCTTCTATTTCGTATACTCCAGAAATAATCTATTAATTATTTCGTCCATTGCCAATTATTTCTTAACGAGTGGAGTTGCACAGAACCTATTTGTATCTGACAACTACAGTTAGTATAAATACTACAGTCTACTAATAGTTAAATGATAAAATAAAAATCAGCGACGTTCAACTGGGAGGATCCATTCGATTTGGAGTCGCAGTTGACGAAAGATGAGATTCTGATGAGAGATCAGTTCCGAACGTACTGTCGCGAGAAACTGCAGCCTCGAATACTCCATGCGAACCGTAATGAGGTCTTTCATAGAGAGATCATGAGGGAATTAGGGGAGTTAGGTGTTCTGGGGTGTACCATGAAGGGCTACGGTGCCGCTGGCGTTTCCTCCGTGGCATATGGACTCTTGGCTAAGGAAATCGAGTCCGTGGACAGTGCATACCGATCCGCTCTATCCGTACAATCATCCTTGGCCGCTGGGGCGATCTACAAGCATGGCAGCGAGGCACAAAAGCAACAATATTTGCCGAAACTGAGTACGTTATAATAATTTAAGGAACTAAGACGCGAAAGAGATTGAAATAATTAAATGAGAGAACTGATGGAAGTGTGAAGAAAGAAAGATTGATAATTGTCTATTTCTGTCTCCGTATACATTTGGTTTGATTGAGGATGATTGCACGAGTGTGGGAACGTCGTATGAAATACTTGGATCGTTTTCAGTATCCGGTGAAATGATCGGTTGCTTCGGACTAACTGAACCCGATCATGGGAGCGATCCGGGCTCGATGGCAACGAAGGCGACTTACGATTCAAAGAGGAAGATCTACAGATTGAATGGATGCAAAACATGGTCAGTTACTCGCCAGCGATCGAATATCGAGCTTACATCTTCGATGATTATGTAAAATTCAGGATCACGAATTCACCGATCGCCGATCTATTGATCGTGTGGGCAAAGAACGAGGAGGGCAAAGTCTGTGGGTTTATAATCGAAAGGAAGGGTAGCGAAAATCGATTATCCACACCGACGATCGAAGGGAAATTTTCTTTGAGAGCTTCTACCACAGGAATGATCATTATGGATAACGTAGAAGTGCCTGCGGAGAATTTGTTACCCAAAGCCCAAGGTCTTAAAGTAAGTTTCGTTTTACGTACGAATGAAGTTCTGCGATTGGATGTCTCCTTTTTTTTTTATCGACGAATGGATGAAGTAAGATTTAAATGCTGAGAGGGAGAATATGTGCGATTTTTATCAGCTACAAAAAAGATGTCATGCAGGGTCCTTTCGCTTGTCTGAACAACGCCCGATACGGAATAGCGTGGGGTGCTTTAGGTGCCGCCGAAACCTGTCTAAATGTGGCTAGATCGTACACCATGGAAAGGAAGCAATTTAATAGACCGCTGGCAGCCAACCAATTAATACAGAAGAAACTGACCGACATGATGTGCGACATCGCTATTGGTTTGCAAGCCTGTCTTAGGGTTGGCAGGCTCAAGGACGAGAACAAGTAGGAATCGTTTTCATCGATTTTCCATCCTATTTCCGTTAGGGGTTGATCATTCTTTTCTAACAATTGTTTGTCATTATCATTTCATCATTACTCATCTTTCATATGCTTAAAATCGAAAGCAATTAATCTAAACATCGTTAGTGATAGGAGCAGGGTTCGTCATTGTTGCTCTTGTTTTGCTAGCATTTTCATATGTTGTATGTTAGAGTTTCTCCAGAGATGATCTCCATCATCAAAAGGAATTCCACCACAAAGGCTCTAGAAATTGCAAGGACGGCCAGGGAGATGTTGGGTGGTAATGGAATATCGGATGAATATCATATTATCAGACACATGATGAATTTAGAGAGCGTTGTTACTTACGAAGGTACGTAGATACTCGTACGCTGGAAAGGGTTGAAGTATTTTTTAATAACATTTGTCGCAGGTACGAGCGATATTCACGCTCTGATACTCGGTAGAGCGATTACCGGCATACAGGCGTTCAGTGTGTGAGCGAATAAAACCGTGTACCCTACTTTTGTACATTTGTATGCTTTCTATAATAAAACAAAGATAAGGATAACGAAACGAACTCGTGAAACTGAAGTTAAGAAACGAAACAGAATCAACCGAAGATGTAACTCGAATTGTGTTCAGTGAAATCCCGGTTTTAAGTTTCTCTCAAATTTTATTTCGATACCGCCGAATTGCACATTTCTTTTAAACTGTCCCTCTCTCTCTCTTTCTCTCTCTCTCTCTCGCTCTCTCTTCCCTCCTTCTGTTTCTCTATTTAAAATCAACAAGGATGTGTTCACGACACAAGCGAACTCCGATTTTAATCATAAATAAATTAAGTTTAATTGCTAAGTAATAAAACGTTAATTACATATGTCAATGATAATTAATTTAAGTACAACACACGTCTCGTGCAAAAGTGTAAAGAAGTTTCTTTTTCGTGCTACACTCAATTACCATTTTTTTGTATTTTTATGTGTTTTTTTTTTATCTTGTTTTGGTTTGTTCGGTTTGGTTTGTTTCTTTTTGTCCTCTTTACCACTCGACGTAGGTTTCACCGCTCTCTTTTCGCTTTTCTCGTTCACATATCTCCCTTCCAAGTGTCTGTGTGTTTTACAATATGTTCATGATCCCGTGTCTCTGTGTGTGTATGCTTTTTCTCTCTCTTTCTTCACTTTAAATGGTTCTCGACTACAATAAGCTCTTGGTAAAACGTAGTAACATCGTAGTTTACAGTAGTTTACAATCGCCTTCTCGCGCGTGTGTCTCTATTACATAGTTACACCGTTTCCGTATCGGCATGCTGTAATCGAATTTCCCGTTCGATCTTCCCTTTAATTTATAATCAACAGTCGGCGAAGGAGAAAAGGAAATTATCCGTAATTTTTCGTCTCATTATTATTTAACAATTATCTCCCGAATATCTTCGATCGATCATCGATCGATCGATCGACGAGCGGACGCTAACAAACTGGTCGCTTACGAGAAAAAACTAGCCCCTCGTCGATCTCTCCGACGGATCGATCCTCGCCTCGCGATCTCGCGGGAAAACTTCGATTCCATCATTTACAATTCTCCCTCTTTCGTTCTCTCTCTCTCTCTTTCTCTCATGCACCCGCCATTCATTTGACTCCCGGAAATTCGATCGTTCGCCAAATCAACGTGTCGATCACCCCGATCGAATTTCGAACACGCTCCGCGTGTGTTTCAGTCCCGCACCCCGCATTTGCTCGGCTCATTCATCCCGTCTCGTGTGTATCTCTGTGTGTATGTATGTTCGTGTACGTGTCATTCACTAATGAATACGTAAGTGTAAACAATAAATAATGTATTTTATTTATTTTTCTTCATCTTTACTCGCGTAAAATTCTACGATCCTTTGGTATGTCCTCGCGGCGATCGACATATCGATATCATCGGTGATCCGCGGTCATCGATCACCCGGCCACTCGTACGTGTGTTCGAGAAAATAAGGAAACGACCACGCTAAACCGAGGGATCGAGATCACATATTTGTTTAATTTCTTCACCTCGATCCTCTCGTTCCAGCATTCATTAATTCTCACACGATTCTTACGCTTTCGCTTCATCTTTTCCATCGATTCCGTCCGCCGAACGCGAAGCTCTCCGCTCGTTCCCGCCTCGGGGAACTAGTTTACTCGCGGCGCGCGGCACTTCCTCGCATTTAAAAACTCTAAAAAGGAGCCTCATCATGTGAAAATCACTTTTGCCTATCGACGCATCCTTCTCTACCTTTCTCTCTTCCGTTTACTCGTTTCTACCTCTTAAACGTTTCCATCGAAAGAGAGAATCCGTTCTTTCAGCGTTTCGAAAGATATTCTCTGTCCAGCATGGATACCGACACGACGAACCCTCGTATTGTAATAAATATAATAATGTATACTTGCTTTTGCACTTGTATTTTACATTATTTCATCTCTGATTAACTAATCGATACCTTATTGTCGTACGAACCGTTCGCCTGTTCTCTACCAACCCCATTCCTGTTTAGACAGATGGTTGACACCCTGCATCGGTCCAATCCAGTCCAAATCTCGATTACCGTTCCAATTAATATCTTAATTAGTTGGCAAACGGCTTCAAAACGCGGCCTCTAAGTCCCCGGACTTCTCCTCCTTCCGATTTTACATAGTTTCTGTCCTCTTACAGTTTTATGACTCGCATCTAAGAATTCAGTCTAAGGATTCAGAAAGTACTTTTAAGTAAGTTTAAGTGACAGTTAAGTAATGAATTGATTTAATGTATGATTCAATTAATATCTCCACTAATAAGAGAACAACAATATAATTTCGAATTAAAAATGGAATAAAATAACGATCAATAATAATCTAAATATCGAATCAACAACGTTAAAGCATATATGCATTAATTATTATAAATTGTAGTGAATTAAGAGCAGAAACTATGCGCTATACATTGATACGTGTTTAACAGATTCACCACCGGTCCAAGGACTGATCTTCCACACTCGTCCTATGTTTCTACCATTCTGCCTTCTGCCTTAACTTATCCCATCCTTGTTTCCCCTATCGATTTAAAACTCGAGCGCGCGACTTGCGTCGTTGCAATATAAAAAAACGCGTATACACACACGGACCCGAAATAGATTCTCTTAAGTCTCTACGGTTGTTAATTTACTCCGCTCTCCCACTCTCGCATTACCATTACTATTATTTCTGCTTTTTAATATATTTATATATTTATATATATTCATATTTATAATATGTTCATTCGCCTACGCCTCGAGCTTAGCCCGCCCCTCGAACCCACCCCCGTTTCGCGGATGGGTGCGCGCGCGAAAACCGCATTCTCTTCTCATCGTTCAACGATTTTTCGCCTCCTCCTCTCCGCCTTCGTTTATTGTTAATTTCACATGTGTGATCATTTCACCGTCGTTCAGTTCTTCTTCTCTACCGGCGTCGGTCGTCGATTCGAGACGAGGTACCACGCAACGCAACGCGTCTCGCATGAACAGATCATAGTTATTCGCTCCTCGGTTCTGTTTCTTCCTCCCGATTTCGTTCCAAACCCTTTTTAATCCGTTTTCACCGTGCGACGTGACGCGGTTTTTGAGTTATCGGTCGCAATTTCGCGAGAACTTAATTTATTGAACGGCGATCGTCGACCGATCGACACCCGAGGATCGATCGGCGATCGGACAACCCCCTGTGATCGCTGGGGTTTCTATAGTTAATCGTAAATTACAGAATTTCCCATACCCCCAACCCCTAAACTCCCTAAACTAGCCCCCGGCTGCCCGAAAATGGCAATTATATTTATATATATATTTATATATATATAATATATCATTTATTTATATATTCATATTTGTATTTATATATTTATATATTTATATATTTATATTTATGTATATAGTATATATATAATTATATACTATGTTCTTGCTTTTACATTTTATTTAGCGGGTTCTTGTTTCTTTCTCTCTTATCGTGCGTGTATTGTATCTAGCGTGCGTCTGGTCTATCGATAGCCTAACCCCGACTGCATCTCGTCCAATTCCGAATCCAGTTTTTCTCCAAATTTTCCGATTCTCCTACCCCCACTTTCGGTGCGACTTTATTATTTTTCTTCCCTTTAACGGCACGCGTCTTCATCGAATGATTGCTCTAACTTAGTCGGAAACCCATATTCTTCTCAACTGCCTGATTCAACAAAGAACGCGTTTATATTAATATAATCAATTATCTCTTTGTTTCGTTACAATAATAAAAACCGCAGTTACACTAATAGGAATGCTAGTAATATAAATAATACGCAATAATAACGTGACAATGGCATGGTACTGATAATGATAGTAATAACAGGAGCAACAAAAGCGTTCATGTTCCGCGTGATGTAATAGTAATCGTTACTTCGTATAATAACAACCGTTGGTAATTGCAATTGATAACCACAATTAAACGCGTATTTACAGGTTTTATCGTACAAACAGTCCTCTCCTATTTCTCCTCTTCGAACGTACACTTCGATATTTTCCTTTCGCCCCAGATTCTATCCCAAGTCGTGGTTATCTCGCAATCGTCATCTCGCCTCTGCGTTATCTTCATTTTTGAATCTTTCATTTAACGATGCGGCGATTATTTTCTAATCTATTAAAGTAAACGTTGGCATACTCTTTCCAATTTATCTCTTCAAAAACTCGATTCAATTCTCAATATTTCTGATTTCCTATTCATTACTGTTTTATTAAATACTTTCCAACACATAGTTCAGTAGCTAAGTATCAAAATTTTTTATCTGAATTTCAAGTTTTTGTTTATATTTTCAAAGATATTTGCATGACTATTATTTCTTGGGTATCTTTAATCTTTGTATCGCCGCACCGATTCTCTCTTCGAGCACTTCTTTCGCTTCCTCAGACCTTCGGATCGTTCCCAAAGTCCAAATTCAGCCACACTTGCATGAAAACTCGACGCTGTTCCCATAAATCTGCATCGATCCTTGGAATGGTGACGATCAACTTCTACGTTCCCCACAAACTGTACCGCGCACGCCACCGAAAAAAACAATAGCACTTGATCGAGAAACCCGGTGAGTTCGTTCACGGTTTGTCCGTGCAAACGGCAACGCTCTCCCCTTATAGTTAATTAAACCGTTATTACAATAATATATGTTTACTTTGTACTATATATGATCTTATAATCGACGGCCGCGACGCACGCTTCCGTTTCCTCCCTCGCTCTCCTTCATATTTCTTTTGGTACGATTAGTTTCTCCTTTCTAGCTCTCGGCCGCATTCGCATTCTGACTCTCTCGGTCGCATACATATCCAGTCGCTTTTTTCTCGTTTCATTGCATGCTGACGTAACGGAAACGGAGATAAAGAAACTTGAACGTCGACCGCTAGGAACCGAATTCTTCAACGCGAATTCGAAACTCGAATTTATTATTCGAGTTTCGAACGGTACAAGGTAAAGGAATGTTGCATAGACTAGTACAGAGTCGTTTTCTACGAATGATCGGTCGCGAGTGACTCGTTCCCTCCTCCGACATTAAAACTAGCAATGTCCGATTAACTTCTTCAGATCGTTACGATATTTTATTCGTTTTACTTTATAAGCAGAACATCAGAAATTTAACTATCATCTGTTTTAATACAACCTTTTCCTTGGGTACAAAAGTCTGATGAAGTTTCGAGGACGGAATGATATCACTCGCCACTCGGATCTCACAAAAATCACATGTTCGTGTACGTTTTCACGGAATCTTAATTTAAAACGTAATTAAACGATGAGATAACGACACACGCGTGCAATCAGGAAACGCGAAAAGAAGCTTCTGTCGCACTTCAGAGATTCTCCTTTCGTTCTGTTCCACACGCCTTCCCGATTCTCGCGAAGCGCTCTCTCCAACATTCTCTCGCACACGCATACACTCTTTCTAATATGTACAATAGCACAGCGCAATTACGGTACGATATCGAGTGCGATTCTCTCTCACACACTCTCTGTTCACTCGTCTTCTCTTTAGTTAATGTTAGTGTCTCTATAATAATTTGTTCACTCGAATTTTCACGCACGCACACGTACATTCGATCCGCGTTTTTTTTTTTTTTCTCACACGTGTTCGAACACAAGGAGGCCACCCCGCCACTGATTTTCGCGGACGATCAGCCCCCTCGTCGTCCCTTCGGCACCTTCGCCTCTTCTTCGTCGATTCGCACAAAACAGCGTTCACTCTGATATTACGACGTTCATTTATTTTTCTCTTCTCTTTAACGTAAGTAACTTGTGTACGTAGAATAATATATTTCTATATCACTTGGCACGTGCACGTCATCGACACGATGCCACATTTTTGTTTATTCCCTCGTTCTCCTCTTTCTCGCGTTAAATTACTTTTTATACGCTCGGCATTCGAAGGTGTGTGTGTGTACGTTGAGATACGAAGCTGTTCTTTTAGGTAACCAGCGTCCCTTCTTGTTAAGTCGATCATTTTTGGAATGTGTTTGTGTACGTTTAGCGACCAACGAGGACACGACGAGTCCTTGTGCACCTTACCCGATCGTCGATCCCTTGTCGATATTCATTTTCTACCCCTTCGATTTTCCACGGTTCTCCGCTCAGTGAATTGTTTAAACGCGATTCGAGGATACGAAACGATCTTAGTACTTCCTTGTGAAGGATCCCCGATGTTCTTTAAAGTTAATTACAGGCGTTCTTATAAACCGTTCGTGATTCTATCCGCGATTGACTCGAATTAGTTTACATGGCACGCTGTTCTTTGGAATGAAAGAAATTCGTGATAGTTTTCCCAAGCAAAATAAATCACTGATCAAGTAAATTCGAGTACGCGTTTCTTTTTTCTGGAGGACTCGAGGCTCGCTCTCCAGTAATTTTGACTAGATAAAAAAACGGGGGATGGCCACCACCCGTTACACGTCTGGACTAGAAAGATAACTCTAAATCGAGATACAGCTTACCCTAATATGGCAGATTATGGCACCAAGTTCTCGGAGAATGCGTGGATCAAGTGTACAAAACGATGGAAGGGAGTGAAGGATCGAGGATCGACGATCGATACGCGATTTCCGTAGACGCGAGCCCGCGATGCTCATCGTCAGTCTCGTCCCCTGGAACGCGAATCCCGTTACCGAGAATCTTCTCCAGCTCTCATTCGATCAGAACAATCGTGCAATGTTCGTGCAAGAATTATCTCTTTGCAAAATTCATCGACCCTTGATGCGTCGTTCCGCGTTCAACGTAGCGAGGTTGGACTGCAATATTCACGAACAAGCCTGCCACCTGTTTTCTGTTCACGTTTTAAAAAAAATATCACAGCGGCCAGGAGGGCTAGCTATAAGATAATTACCTCGACAGTCCTCGAACCTGAGCCTTTTCAAAAACAAGTTAAAGCTTCAAGCTAGTCAATTACCACGAATTACTCGAATTTCTAATGTTTCGAGCAACGTTTGAATTCATCATGAGATGACAGATTAATGGAACTGAATAAATGCTTTCCTACTGCGTTCTAATATATCAACAACTCGTCATACGTGAAACGAAACAAACTCCCTTAGATAATAGATACAAAAATTAGAAAGACAGGTCCTTTACATAAAACATTAAATTGCGTCTTTTCTGATACTGAAACAAATCACTGTAAACGTATTCGCGCTGGTGGTTTTACGGCTGTAAACAAATCCTCGCGGAGGAATCACGTCACGCGACTCGGCTCGATCCGGACCTCGCTACGCAAAACCGAAACGAGATAAGGACGCCTAGCAAAAAAAATCGTCCGAATAACTGACGTTCCAGGTCAGTCGTACGCCTCGAGCGGCACCGGTAGCATCGCGAGCAATCGCGTCGCGTGTTGCTTATCGAAATCGCGTTCCGCGAGTTACCGGCCCTTTACGAGAAGGGCAGATCTTCCTCGGGCGACTCGTCGTGGTACTCCTCGTGGTCGGACGTGTGTCACAAAACGTCGGTCGCTTGCCGTTGCCCGATACCTATCGTCGGCGACAGTTGGCCTTCCTCCACGGCGACGGCCTTCGGGTCCTCGTCCTTCCACTTGTCCATCGAACGGCGTCGGGCGTTCATGAAGAAGTTGCCGACCGTCGTCGGCTCCAGGCCCAGCTGCCTGGCGATTGTCACCTGCATCTCTTTCGACGGCCTCTTCGTCTCCTGAAAATGGCATCGACACGTCGGTAAGTCCGTCACAGGACGAAGGATGTAGTTTTAAAGTTTCAGTCATACCAATGAGATCAGTGAATTATTATTAAGTATATCACAGTGCAATTTTATTATAAGAACTGTGCGGAGCTTTTTGAATGATCCGATCAGAAGGGTTTATGGTCATTACTTTAGAGACAGGATTTCTTCGTGTAACAACGTAGACAAGATAATTCGCACGAGGGAGAGAGACAGGTTGAAGTGGTTTGCGCCAGATTCCACAACGACCTTTCATTAAAGAAACGCATAAACGAGAATCTCTGTACGCGATTCCTCTGTTTTCTCCTTTGACCGGTGTATAAATTAATATTCATCTCGGGAGGGTGGGCATCTCAACCTACAATTCCGTATCCGTGAATCGGACGGAGGGGAGGCTCGGAAGATCGTGTGTCGGTGTATCGGCGAAAAAAGGGGAAGTCCGCGGTTTGCCGGAAACCGGAAAGGGACGAGCAGCGAGCGGAGCGGAGGAGAGGTAGCACGGTCCGATCGCGTGCTCAGCAAATGGTAAACATTTCTGTGCATGTGGCAAAGGCAAGGCAAGGTAAAACGGACCGTGGCACGCTTTCTACCCACGCGACGACGTTTCTTACTCGACTCGTGGCTCGATCAATAACGCGAACGGACGAGGCAAGCCAAGAGCGAGAGAGAACGAGAGAGAGAGAGAGAGAGAGAGAGGAAGCTAGAGGGAGGGTATCGATTGCTCGAAGGAACAATTATTGCAAACCGATGGCGATGGGCCCGGTACTGTACGCGTGCACCAGAACAAGCGATAATTAACGCGTTACGCGCGAAACGCAATCGTTTAGCCTCGTGAAATTCGATCGAATCGACCGCTCTCCATACGAACCCGAATCGCACCCTTCGCAACCCTGTTTTTCACCCCTTAACAAACAAGCTTGAACCATGATTAATGTACACGAAACTATAACTTTTAGTCAGAATAAATTAAAATATTCTGATATGTTTCATAAACGTTTTTCATGTCACATTTGTTTACAATCACAAATGATTTTGTTAGCTCTCCTTTTATTCTCATATCCAGTGACACGTTTACGCGACCCCTTCTAAAAAGCCTGTTTCTCTAGCTCGTGCTCGGTTTCGCTAGTCGCGCGACACAGTAGCTGTCAAGGAATAATCACGATTCTCGCGCCGATAGTGTCCCGTGTTTCAAACAATTGATACGCCTCTCTCTATACTCCTCTCTCTGTCTCTCTCTTTCTCTCTCTCTCTCTGAAGTCTATACCTTATACCCGCTGTCCTGTTAGTAAACGGAGGCGGTAGACCTTCGTTTCGTTACACGAGCTGAATTACATCCAGAAACCAACAGAATATCGATGCAGTTCCTTCAACGTCTGTCTGGCTAAATCGAATTGATTTCGCGAATTTTTTTCTACCTACAGAAACCGTAAACGTAAACTATGTTCTATTAGAAATCTCATATTCACATTCTACATTTTATATTGGAGATCCTATTTCCTTTTTATACATTTAAGAATTTTGAACGTTGCTTTGCTAATTTCCTGTCGCGATGCTCCAATTGGAAATGTATTTTTCGGCAATGAGGAAGTTGAAAAGTCGAAATCGAGCGGAAAATAGTGGAATGCGTGAAAGATCGAGCGGCGGCGTTAACTGGGCTAAGGTCAATTCGGCCAACTATTTGGCATACTTCCAAAGAGTCTCACCCGTGTCGACTTTTTCCCTTTTCCACGTTATTTTCATTTAGTTGTCTCGTAATCCTATCTGGAATTTCCTCCAGTCGAATTACTCGGAAATCTTCATTTTAAATCGAATTACTTGAAACTTTTATGATGGCGCTATATGACAAAAGCAGTTCAGACGAAAAGAGGCGAACAAACACGAATTTAAACTCGATTAGGTGTCGATCACGTATCAAATTCAAACCGCGGGAAAAGTGAATCAATAATTCAAGTTAATAGGAATGAAATTAAGATTAGGTTAATGCAGAGGTCGAATTCGATTATGTAATACCAGCGCGGTCTCCTCTGATCAAAGTTCGAATTCGAATCGGAGCAAATAAAATCCAATCTACGACGTGGATCACGACTCATATTTTACTTAACCGGCAAATTTAGTCTAACTCGGAGAGCGCTACTCCCCCGTTCCTCGATTCTGAATAATGCAGACGGAAACTTGTTACCAGGCGTGCTTCTTTCGAGGATCGTAGGTAGAATGCGGAGTCAAATGGCCGCGACATCGATAGTGTTCGAGGTATCGAATGAACGGCCGCGAACTCAAATTCCCGTTGCTGTTCTTGAATTCTCTTTCCCTTCCATGTAATCGCAACGTTAACACGTTCTTAACAAGCCGCGTTTTCTGAATTTTTACAAATTTTCTTCCAAACTGGTCTCATTTTGAAAATACAAGCGTTTGTCAATAAGTAATGTTCATGAAGATATTCTTGACAGAATTATTTTACTATACATTCGCCCATTGAGAACATAGAAATGAAAGTCCACCTGTCATTCGTATTTTCCTCATCCGCGAGAATGCTTGCATCAAAGCCGTGCTCAGACAATAATTGTTTTCTCGAATGGAACGTTCGAAGAGAGCGCGTGGAATAATAAAAGAGGAAGCCGATTTTTCGCGTGGAGAAAGAGTAACGCGGGTGGGAAAAATCGTGACGAGGACAAAAGGGGGCGAGACCAGTGGAGTTTCAACCCCGTGTTGCGCGTATCGATCCGCGAATGAATAATTTCGCGACCGATTCCTTGCCTCGCGGATCGCGACCGAACCGCACCACGTTCCACATCGCCGAGAACGACCGTCCGTATATCGTTAACGTTAACGTGCTCGTCGACGCGCCACCGAAAAGCCATCCCCCTGTTTGTTCGAGCAAACGCGCCACGCCATCCCTTGCCACTTCTAACGACTCGCGTACGTCATCGACGAGTAGTAGTATTTCTCATATCCGCGAATAGAATTGAACGGTTGAACGGAATGAACTTTAAAATTTTTCTCGCAAGCATTAAAAGGGCGGATTGGGTCGTAGGAAGAGTGAACGTTGTAAGGTTCGCCGAGGATCCTTTAGCCCGAGACAATCGAGAGAAAGACACGTAGAAGAAGAACGGGGACGGGTGGCCCACGGTATCGATCAAAACGCAAGTTAAGTTATACAAGACTTACTTTAAAAATAGCCTGTAGAGTACGGCGCTGAAGGTCTGTGAAAACCAGGCGCGGTTTCTTGGGGGCGGGCTGTTGGTGTTCTGCCTGGTTCGCCATCTCGTCTTTCCTCTTGCATGCTAAAAAATCACACGCCGCCTTTAGTCGAACCGTTCCTTACAGATAATAGGAAAAAGAACAAAAACAGTTTAAAAACACTGAAGATATTTCGAAGTGTGTTCACGTTTGAAGTTACATGAAAGTATATTAAAAAATATTAAATGAATCTAATTGACTTTAGTCTTTCTAAATTCAATGTGTAAATCAGATTTGTGTGCATTAAAATTTTAAATATAAAATTAATTGAAAACGCAACGAATTAAAACAAAACGTCTTAAACACGAATGAATTGAGATTCCAAGAATTTCGTACGATAATTCTCGTTTCGTTCTCGTGAAATTATGCAAACTAATTGGTAATTAACGAGTGAAAACAGTGCGGTACGAGAAGGGGAATACGCGAATCGATAAGTAACCATCTAAGATTTCCGCCTTTAAAACCAACTACCGGTGAAAGAAAAAGGGAAAGAGTAAGACCTTCCCTTTGATATAGACTCTTCGCGTACCCCTCACTCCGCGCGCGCGTGCACACACGTAAATGCAGACATCGACGCGCGTCTAATTGAAAATCGACCCAATTAAGACGTCGCATCGGTGAAAACGTAAAAAGGGTAAGAGTGGAACTGGTTTCTGAACGTAATTTGATCGTACTTACTTGCGCGTTGTGGAATCTGTGCAGCTGAAAGCAGAAAAGAAAAGACGAATGTGAATCAATGATGAACTCGTTTAGTCGGACGACCCGTGTTCTTTAATCGTCTCTCTTTCTCTTTTCATTTTGCGGGTCGTCGATCGTATGTAATGTGGTTTTTGAATGCGTGTACAATGTCTCATTCCTGTTTCTGTTATGCGTGTTTCTTACGTACACATGGTTACTTTTTACTTCTCGAGTACTATCAAGTACTCGGTATATCGACCTGTTCTTCTTTCGAATCACTAGCTTGTCGTTCACGAGCAAAATTACTTTTCTTTGCCAAGCGTACGTACTCGCAGCCAAACAAAAAAAAGTAATCTCGACTTGTTACAAGATATGTACGCACATCAACGTGTGGAATAGTGTTTCTCAATCTTCCCTTGTCAACGTCCCCATTCAAACGTCATATTATTCACGGTCTCCAAGGATTCCCATGCGATCTAAATTTTCGTTTCACTTCCTCGAATCACGGCGAGGGATCGTTCGGTCAGATTGAGAATCACTGATTATAGATCATGATCCACGGGCAATGTAAGTATAAAAACATGTACAACAAGTCATTGGAGAGAAAAAAAGGGTTAGAGGGGTGTTCGCTTGCATACCACGAAATATATCTGACAACTCAATGGTAAAATACTACAGCTGATAAACATCTCACTAAAGGGTTTACCAAAAAAGGGCACAAGGGCTAAATAGGGTTCGGACACGTATATATATAAAAATATATATATATATATATAGATATCTGGTGTGTACGTGTGAGACGATGCAAGAGTGTCAAGAGAGAAATGCGTTCTCCTTGGAGGAGACCGAATTTTACCAGTGTTATTTTCCGTGTGGTTTTTCGTTGTGTCTCGAGTGAGTGATATGTATGCCTTGTTTCGAATCTGAGTGGTATTATGTCTCGTCGAGCACACACGTTTTTTCCTCGTTTCTCCTTTTTCTTTTTCCTTTTTTTCCCCGGTTGGCTCGCGTCCAAACCGGAGCTTGATTTTCGTCCGGAAAATTTTCACCAGCCGCGTGATTTAAAACCGAGAGGGGTAGATTTGGAATTGATAGATCACGTGTTCGATTAACATATGCCTCGTTAATTAATTATAATTAATTTATGCGCGAAGCAAGTCGTCCATTTTTTAAAGCGATTTTCGGTTTCCAAGCAACAAGCGTTGAATAATCGCAGACCTTCACGTTTCAAGAAACAGCAGTTTCAATCAAATACGCCAAATAATAGTATTTCTATATGTACATAGAAATTATATTATCCCTGTACAAAGAATTTCTTGGAGTTATGTCGTAAATGAAACCTTTTCCCATAAAAATTGTACGCATAATGGCGAACGGGATAAAGCTAAAATAGAGGAAGAAAATGAAGATGGCGCGAAATGGGAAAAAATAACGTTTACACGCGTCCATCGTTTCCCGAGCGAACAGATATTAGATTAAATAACTCGTCAATTTTCCCCTTTGTCCGGCCTCGATCGCGTCGCGTCGGTCCCCCTGGTAACTTGAAAATCGTTGAAATTTCCCGATAATAGGCGGCCCTTTTCGTTCGTCGCCGCCGGGGAGAATCGAATCGAAAAAAATCTCGGTCCATTCCGAAGGAAATCGGAGCTACGTCCCAGCGAATTAGCGACTCGCGGCAAATGCACGGAAAATCGAAACCGATTTTTCCGAATCGCGCTTGATGCGTGCAATTTTCGCGTCTCTATTGTAATATCGAAATTGCGAGAAGTATCGCCAATTCCCTTTTCCATCTGCCAATTTCTCCGGTAAAAGAAATAAACGATGGAATAGTATTTTGATAGTGAATTGCCACAGATTAAAGGGAAACGAGTGTACGTGATCCAGATAAGAGAAAAATTAGTAGGAACATCGTTCCGAGAATGAGAAGCATTTCGATTCCACGATTCCACTGGCTGCCAATCGGAAAACCCGCCTCCGAAAAACGTTTAAACCGTCCCTATCGTCCGCTGTGTTCTAAAAACGATTTTCATACGAGAGTTTTGCGACAGCTTCAATTCCGATTGACCTGTCATTGAGACGAATCATACCTTAAAATACTATCATCCTAGGAAAAAATGGAAGGACGGTATGTTCTCGATTGAAATTTCTGCCCGGAAGACTCTGGACGCGAAAAATGGACTGGCAGGGGGTGGCGGACCGGTGAACGGGGCGAAGATACCAGGCGGGGGTTGGAGGCAATCGCGTGCCATTAGCAAGCGACCGATAACGAGTGAAAGGAGGCTCGCGAAAAAAATGGCACCGAGAACAGGGACACCGGGGGTGGGACGTGAAAGGGGCTAGTGGACTGCCGTTCGGGGGTGGACAGCCGGACAGAGACGAAAAATTGACGCGTTCATTATTACTGTGGACTGTCTCTCTCTCTCCCTCCCTCTCTTTCTATCGAATCGGGAAAAAGTTTCCCTGTCGCGACAATCGACTCGGCCTCGTTTGATTTTTCACCCTCCGTCGCCCCTTTTCTTGTTCTTCTACGTGTACAGCGGCGAGCGTGCAAATAAAAAACATTCTAGTTCTAAATTCAATGGATTCCCTTGACCAATAGTTCGGTATATTGCTATGATATATGAATAAGCCAATCGTCTCCCCAATTTCACGTTTGTTCTACTTAATACCGTAACGATAGTCTCTCTCGTGCGATGTGTCAACTGTACGGTAATGGGAAATGACCAGTACGACTTGAAACGTCGTTCCAGTCCGGTACATCAGAGATCTATTCTTACCGGGTTAATATCGAGAGGAAAGGACGGGCCGATGACAGCGAGGCTCGGACGAGGGGCTGTTAAGGGGTACGTTAAAATTGTCAACCGGAAGAACGGTCGCGTTGTCAGCCGCGGTGTATCCATCGTGGCGAGAGCAGAACTCGAAACGCGAGCGAGCGAGCGAGTGAGTGAACAAGTAAAGCAAGTACAGGCTACCGGATGTCACGAAGCGGAGGATATCGATCGAAGGAATCCAGAAACGGCTAAGTGGGCCAAATCCAGTCGGGCGCACCACCGCGATAAACCATTAACGAGCTAGCTCTCTCTCCCACCCACTCTCACTCACCCTCTCTGTCTGTCTGTCTCTCTATCTTTCTCTCTCTCTCTCTCTCTCTCTCTCGCTCTCGCGTACTCTGTCTCTATCTATCCATCGTTCTCTTGTAACGCGAACGGAAAATCTCTGACGGGTAGCCGCCGCGAACTTTTCGGAAAATAATCCACGAGACTGACACTTTGTGCGGTGGGTGAAAAGCCGGCGCCCGGCCACTTTGACGCGAGACAGAGAGAGTCCAGAAGAGGATCAGGTCGCGCGGAAAAATTCGATCGGCTCGGCTGCCTGGCCGAGTGTACCCAAACGAGATCCCATCCGCGTACTTTGTTGTCAGCCCGCCGAAAAACAACCGGATAATGGGTCATCAAGGATTAAACAAACACACCTGCGCTAAATAGAAATAGAAAATGTACTTGCTCGTTACACGTATTTAAACAAAATGTCATGCCACGAGATAAGTAGAACCTTAGAATATTGCAACGGCGCATACGGTGCATCGAGAGATTGAAGAAGAAGAAGAAGAAGAAGAAGAAGAAGAAGAAGAAGAAGAAAAAGAGGCAGGGGGCCAAGATCACGTGGTCCATGTAAATGCGCGGGCGGCGAGTATTGTTTTATTATACGTATAGCGGAAGCTGTTGGAGCCACGTGACGCCAGTCTCGTAGCTCTCCTCGAAACGTAATCATTCTTGAGTTATTCGACGGAAGGGGTGGCGGCCGATGGAACACGAGCAGCCCTCATATGAAGAAGACGTCTACGTGTCCCTGACAAACTTTCTTTTGATCGCTCCTCGGCCATCGGTTGCTAGAGTACGTGAATCCGATTCAAAGTCGCGATTTTATGATCTTCGTGCTCCTCTTTTATTTGTCTTATACCGAGATTTCATATTATTACATCTAATAATACTGAATATAGTCTTATACAGGCGACAGATTCTTCTGTTTGAAAACTGAGGAATTTGTTTTTCGCCTCATACGAGTGTCGAATAAGTTGACTGTTATTACGCAATTTATTATAACCGAGCTTTCTCGATCCGGTCATTTTTAGAGAGATTTTCGAAAGCCCGGCAGGAAATTGAATTCCGCTTCATTTCCGTTAATCCATCGACAGCAATTGCATGTATTATCTTGATTTTGAAAGTTTGTCTAGCGCGATCGAACGCTCGAACAGACACTTGGCTCGCTCTCTATTTTTGATGCAATTACCGAGCTTCGAACAAGGTTTGGAACGGTCGTATGAAAAGTTGAAAGAGCTCCGAAAGCTTCCTGGGAAAGCGTCCGTGAATTTACATTCGTTCCGAACCTGCGCTTAGTCACAACTGTTTTCCTCAATGGTTGGTTCTTATCACCTTACTCCACGCTTTTTCTCAACGTTTTCCATACATTCTCTTCTCTCTCGCGCTTCGCCAAGGGTCGATTTTATCGACTCTCTCCGTCGTTTTCTGTTATTTCTTTTTCCTCCAATATATCAATACATCATTTTATTTTTCCGCAGTTCCCTCCTCGTTTTCACTTTTTCAATTGTTTCGTTTACTCAGTGTACGATTTCTCTTTTATCAATTTCTTTTTACACTCAGCTTTCTTTTCTGTCGGAGTTTCTCTTTCTCTGAAGAAGATTTCTATTTTTTCAATGGCCAAGAGAAGCGAGTACCGACCGTACAAGGGTGTTCCGTCTCCGACTGAAGCCACGCCACCCCCGTTTTGCCCTGATAAGCTCGCATTCCGATCGAGTCGGGACACCCATGCGCCTCACACAGACACAAGCGCGACCACACGAGTTCCCACCCCCCTTGGATTTTCTCGGTTCGCGCGCAGATTTATGACGGCTATTCGATTTTATTGCTTATTGCCCCGAACTACCCGATATTCGCCGCGCAACCCCTTCCTCCTTCTCCTTTTGCCGCGGCACAGTTTCTTCTTCTTCCCTTTACCGTCAAGAG